AAAGAACTACACAAAATGAACACAAAACGATCAACTTTAAAAAAGAACTCGTAACTGGAAAAAACGAATGAAAATAGAATGTTAACAAAAAATAGCTTTTTCACACCCAACCCAGTTCTGCGGAATCAGAATCAACGTCGAGTTTAAGCAAGTGAATGAGCCAATTGGAATAAAGTGCCATGCAGATTTAAATTTTTCCCACTTGTGAGGAATGCTGATATCGATATTTTTTGCATGCTAGCATGCTAGTTAACATTCGTGTCAGTCAGCTCTTGGCTCTCACGCTGGCCAACAGAATCTTCCTGCATATTCGTGGCAGCCAGCTATTGGCTCTCACTCTGGCCAGTAGAAAATGGCTGCAAACTACATGAAAACTGCCGTAAAAGCATAAAAAAATCGATTATTTCCACTATCGATGTGGGTTGGGAAATGCAAAGTCGGTCTTAGCCTTCCCACTAACTTGGAGCATGTACATGTAAATTTTGGTGCAAATCCGTCGACAATTTCGGCCGTGCATTCGTTATACACACACACACATCCTGTCTTTTATAGATAGAGATTATTTCAATTTGACTATGTATTTCAGTATCACTCTTTCCGTTCGCATCCTCTCTTTTCTCTCTGTCACTATATGTGTGTGTGTGTATGTCTTTAAAATTTATAGATTCATAAGGATCATTGGAGAGGAAAATGGAAAATGGAGAGGATTGTTTCAGAAAGAAGAAGAAGAAGAAGAAGAAGAAGAAGAAGAAGAAGAAGAAGAAGATATTACAATTAAGTGACAGTAAGTAGACGTTCTGATTAGCTGGGAACTCTGGATATGATGAGTTCTTGAAATGTTCTTCACGCGACCAATTAGTGATTACTAAACTAATTCGGATATTTAATCATTTGATGGAATTTTTAAGTCACCAGTTACAGACTAGTCAATTGAAATCACACGATTCCAATATAACTCCAACCAAAAACCGAAAGAAAAACTAACATATTTCTTAGTTTTGACCCCAGCTTTTAGCATACAAATAAATTGATAAATCTTAAACTCATGATCTGATGAATGGTTTGAAAATTATTATTATACCTATCATTTAGAGCAGCGATATATGGACGGGCTTTGAACGGATAACATTATTGGTCTATAGAATTGGTCCATGTTGAGGTCGCCAAATGAGTGCTGTCTGGGAAACATTGAAACTATATATGGAATCGCTCTTAAATATATGCAAATCCTTTCTTTAATTGTTAATAAAAAAAAGAACTTATAGACAGACTCTCAAAGCAGATTCACACAACCGGTATATGTCATTTCTTATTGTAATTATGTTTATGATATCAATATCTTCACTTCTTATTGTGATAATATCTACATTTTAAAATTTAGCACATGCGCAACTCAGTGGCTCCCGTTTGAGTCATGGTGTCCTATACTATAGATCTAAGAGCCAGAACTGGATGCCTACTTCAAAAAGTTTGAAGTTCAGTAATTTTGCGGAAAAGTTAAAAGTTAAACTACATTCTTAGCGACTTACTATTTAATTTTGTAGTGAAAAATATTAAATTTACTTGTATTTTATGTTTATTAATAGTAAACTGAACTACAATTCAACATTGTTTTAAAATACCTTTGAGAAAAGAAATGCAAAAAATACTCATAAAAATGTTGTTATCAGTATATTTGTTATTAGGAATAAAAATATCTCAGAGAAATATATTAAACTAAATTTATCTTGACAAATAAATATAGTTTTAAATAAATTTGGCAATGTAAAAGAAAATTGGAAAATTCACCAATCTTCCTTAAATATTTAACAGCAAAAAATTAAAGTTTAAACTTTTTTGTAACATTTGTTAAAAGAAACACTAGAAAAAACTGGATTAATAAATTATCCCTATAAATCAAGTTTTTATTTTTTTTATTTTTATTTTTTCGATGAGAGAATAATATATTTTCTAAATCTTGAATTCCTTTTCTTCTTTGCGGTGTAAAATATCACATTCTGATATATGAATTGAAAAATTGAACATACATATTTTTTATCTAGCAAAAACTGAAACAAAAGTACATGTTGCAAAAAAAAATACAGATTATCATTAATGTATTTGCATTGATGTATAAAAATTGTCATTTAGAAAGAAGTAAAATTGAAGCGAAAAACTTATACGTCAGAAGACTATTATTCATAAATTAAATTTTTGTTGAATTTCCAATGCAAAAAGTTTGTTGGTACAATAAATCTAAACTAATATAACAAGTCTGAAAGAAATAAATTAAAATCTCCTTTCTCATGAGTTGTATCCCTTCAAGATGTAGATGGCTCTCCACAATTTCCTATCCTTCGTAGCTCTTAAAATGTGGCAAACGAAAACCGTCTAAGAAGGCATAACTTTAAATAGCCTCACCTGATCCAGACTTCCATATTGATGCCCTATATATATATATATATATATATATATATATATGAGATAAGGTATTGTACATATTTCTACTATTTACAAAGTTCGGACTGTTATCCTCATCTTCGTTGCTATATTAACAACGTTTCGACCGTTGTACGCTCCGGTCTTCTTCAGTTAATTGGAATTTCGAACTGAAGCCTTTATTTCGTCCACTGGGTAGATTTTCCTAGTTCCACGTGCCAAGCCTCATTCGGATACTTCAGTATGAGTTATCTCCCTTTAAGTCATCTCTCCAAGTTTTTGATCACATTTACTGTAGCCAGGTATTGAACTCACAATTTTGGAAGCAAGGTCACTGGAATCAGCCAGCGGTTTTATCCACTGGCCATGTGTCCTTGAGAACAGAAAACGGACGTTGCGTACAACGGCCGAAACGTCGGAAATATGGCAACGAAAATTAGAACAACAGTCAGAAGAATGTAAATATTGTAAATGATGTCATGTATTTTTTGTTCGAAATGTTTTAGATATGTCTTAGATGTTAAATGTATAGAATCGTTTTCTCAAATCAATGAATAAAAATGAATTTGAATGAATGAAACTTGTAGCTGATAGTGAGACCATCATTCATCGACTCTCGTAGACTGAGGCTATAAAGTCACAGATACAGAAAAGTATCAAAGAACAGAAATTGCATTTCATGGAGACTTTCATCAACAGCAACAACTAAAAAGGACAGGATGCAACTCAAAGAGAACGTAATTACATAATCAAGATAGTGACTTTCCACTTTAGTTTAAAGCAAATTTATGAAGGAAGGTCCCATCATTTCCATTTACAGGACTTGAGAAAGCTTTTGCAAGAGAAACATTATATAAATTTCAATCGGTGCTAAATGTTCGATCAATGACTACCAAGAATTATTCTATATGGAAAATTATAAGAATAGCTTACATGTGTCACAAGTCCGAAAGTATGGGGTACCCAGTGAGGATCGAACTCACTACTCAGTCGTAATTGTTCTATCAAGAAAAGCTTGCTAACCATTACGCCACATGTAGGTTCCCATTGAGATTTTTGAAGTGTGATTAAGATCTTACACAAGGCCCGAAGATCCAGTGAGGACTGGAATCTTTACTAACACATAAATTGGTTCTAGCGCAAGAAGATTTCTAACATGTACAAAACGTCGAAGTGTCCAATATTTTTTCTAAGAGTAGCTTAGATGTGACACAAGGCCGAAATTTTGGAGCACTGAATGAGAGTTAAACTCTCTACTCAGTCGTAATTGATCGAACGATGCAAACCTGCTATTACACCATATCGAGGTGCTCACGAGAATTATTCTATATGAAGGAACTGCTAATTTAACCATTACAAATGCAAATAAATCTTGCAGAGGAAAATGTCCGCCACACAACTACATCCAAAAAGTCAATGCAAATTTCTATTCATCTCTATCTATAAAAGGCAGGATGTGTGTGTGTGTGTGTGTGTGTGTGTGTGTGTGTGTGTGTGTGTGTGTGTGTGTGTGTGTGTGTGTAACGAATGCACGGCCGCAATTTTCGACGGATTTGCACCAAAATATACATGCACATGCTCCAAGTTCGTGGGAACGCCAAAACCTACATTGCGTTTCCTAGCTCCCATCGATAGTGGAAATAATCGATTTTTTCATGCTTCTACGGCAGTTTTCATGTAGTGTGCGGCCATTTTCTACTGGGCAGAGTGAGAGCCTATAGCTGGCTGCCACGAATGGGCAGGGAGATTTTATTGGCCAACGTGAGAGCCAACAGCTGACTGACACGAATGTTAACTAGCATGCTAGCATGCAAAAAAAAAAATCGATAGCGGCATTCGTCACAAGTGGGAAAAATTTAAATCTGCATGGCACTTTACTCCAATTGGCTCATTCGCTTGCTTAAATTCAACGTTGATTCTGATTCCGCAGAACTGGGTTGGATGTGAAAAAGTATTTGCTGTTAACATTCTTTTTTCATTCGGTTTTTCCAGTTACGAGTCCTTTTTTAAAGCTGATCGTTTTGTGTTCATTTTCTTTAGCTCTTTTTTTGTAACAGATTTATTGTTTAGTATAGAGCTTAGAAAAAATTGGCAGTGTGAGATAGGCAAGAAGTAAGGCATGTAGCAACATCAACACGGCAAAGGGCAGTCCTTTAAAGACAAGGAAAGGCAAAAATATTTTAAATCAAGTGATGGAGATTGCTGTATGAGTCGTACGATTTTTGAATCAAGCCCGGGCAACGCCGAGCCATGCTGATAGTACACACTAAGCTTATCTTAGTCAGACACATGATCATGCATTTCATTTGCACTGAAATCATTACATCAGTTATTGTCTCCGATATTAGCTTCTACTATTTTTTGTGCCCTTTCAGAGAAATGACTATCGTTGCTCTGCACATTTTATGTTCTTTTTTTTGCTGTAACTTTTTGCTCTTTCAGCCTCTCTCTTTATCATTTTACTGCTTCGCAACCCACTTTTTAATTTTGCTATTTCAGCCTCACTTTTTTTCAATTTACACTTTCACTCTCCCACTTTATAATTTCACTGTTTTTAACGCCCTCTTTGCTCTTTTTTTTAGCTCTTTCATCCTTGCTCCTTATCATTTTGCTAATTTGGCCTCTTTGCTATTTCATCCTCCCACTGTAACATTTTTCTCTTTCACCCTCTCTCTCTCTTTCTCGTTTTGCTTTTTCACCCTCCCTCTTTGTCCTTGGACTCTTTCATCCTCTACTCTTTGTCATTTTACAATTTCGGCACCCCACTTTCTCGTTTCACTCTTTCAACCTCTCTCTTTCTCGTTTTGCACTTTCGCTCACCTTCTTTGTTATTTTGCTCTCTCACCACTCCTCTTTGACATTTGACGCTTACATCCGCACTCTTTGTCATTTGACTCTTTCAGCGCCCCACTTTCGCGTTTCATTCTTTCACCCTCTCTCTTTCTTGTTTTGCACTTTCACCCTCCCTCTTTGTTCTTTGACTCTAACATCCTCACTCGTTGTCATTTTACTTTTTCAACGTCCACCATTCTCGTTTTGCTCTTTCTCCCTCTCTCTTTTTTATTTTACTGCTTCTCCTCCCACTTTCTCATTTTGCTCTTTTAGTCACCCTGTTTCTCACTTTACTCTTCCACCCTTTCTCTTCATACGTTCACTGTTTTTAACCCCCTCTTTATCTATCTTTCTTTGCACTTTTTGCTCTTGAATCCTCGCTCTTTGTCATTTGCCCATTTATCCACACATTTGACCATTTTAATATTTAATCCCCCCACGTTATCATTTTATTCTTTTACCTACCCTTTCTCTCGCTTTACTCTCTTTCAACCTCTCTGTTTGTCATGTTGTTCTCTCACCGTCCCCACTTGGACCTTTGACTCTTTCAACGTCACTCTCTGCCATTTTACCCTTTCATTATCTCCCTTTCTCATTTCACATTTTGACCGTCTCCCTTTCTCGCTTTACTCTTTCAACCTCTTTCTTTATCATATTGTTCTCTCACCGTCTCCCTTGGATTTTTTACTTTCATCCTCACTCTCTGTCATTTTACCCTTTCACCATCTCTCTTTCTCGTTTGACACCGTCTTTTTGACCGTCTCCCTTTCTCGTTTTGCTTTTTAACCCCCCTCTTTCTCATTTTGCTCTATTATTGTCCCTCTTTGTCCTTTGACACTTTCATCCTACTCTCTCTTATTTTATTATTTCAGCATCTCCCTTTCTCGTTTCACTCTCTCTCTCTCTCTCTCTCTCTCTCTCTCTCACTCTCTCTTGGTCTTTTTTGAAGTTTCAACCTCCTTCTTTGGTCATGTTCTGGAAACTATGGTCTGGTGCCCCTTCTGTCTGCCTCAGGGTTCTTGATAGGTTCCAGAGGCGGATTTGCAATGTGGTTGGCCCTGCTCTGGCGTCTCGTCTACAGTCACTTTCTCACAGACACGCCGTCGCCTCCCTCTGTCTGTTCTACAAATACTTTCATGGCAATTGCTCCGGGGAGCTGCATTCGCTGGTTCCCAGACGTCATGAGTTCAAGCGCCCTACGAGGCTGGCATCCCGCTCTCACCCCTTCACTGTCGAAACTCCTAAATGTAGCCGTCTCTTCTACTCTAATAGCTTCATGTCTCGCACCTCTCACCTGTGGAACTCCCTTCCCTATTCCTGTTTCCCTGAGAGCTATAATCTCCAGCTATTCAAGTGTAATGTCAATCGACATCTCCAGTTGCCTTGATCTATCCACTACCCTTCTCCTCATCCTTTCTTCTATCACTCCTATCTGATCTTGCTCTAAATTTTCTGTAACCCCTTTGCGTCCTAGTGGCTTCCCGCCTTGCTTGGGGTGAAATGCTTAAAAAAAAAAAACAAGTTACATTCGATAATACAGACCACTCCTAGTCCCCCTTACTTTCTCTGTCTGTTGTACTCACTGCAGTGTTAAATACCCCAAGCTTTTTCTTCGTTATGTTAACTGGAACATCAGCTGTCTCCTTCTGATTGTAAGTATAAGTTTCCTATTTTTCTTAAAACTTCTTCGTTTTTCCACATTCATGTGTGATGGTGATTCATATCTTTCGTCTCAAGTCTTTTCTACATCTGCGTGGAGAATACCCAACACCCACTGCCATATTAATATGTGATTACATAGAAGATTAGCTTATACAACGCTAATGCTCAGCGTAATGTCTTCGTAATGCCTAGAAGAATCCCGGCACCCAGTACGCTTCGAAAATTTTAAGACAGCGGTAGCGCTCTGAGAGACGATCTGTTAACCATCGTGCTGCGATGTAAATGACTGATTATTTATTTTCATTCGGCGCATAAATATATCAATTTTAAAGCGTATTTCACGGCGATTTGTCGTTTTTAGCTGGTATGAATTATTAAAACCGTTTACTTCAGCCATCTTTTGCGGCCTTGGGGAGTTTGTTAGCTTCGCTGACATGCGCACTTGTTACCGGATAGAGCAGCGAGTACAACAGAATAAAGATAATCAATGTATTTAAAGTTTTTTTTTTTTTTTTCATTTTTTCCTTTTGAATGAAAAATAATGTATTTGATCATGGAAAAATCATAGAAATGAGTAAATAATTAAGAAAAGCAATTGCAGAAAATAGTATGGAAAACGAGGAAAACATAAATAGGGGGCGAGAGAAGCTGAGAGAAAGAAGAAGAAGAATTAGTATTAGTAGTAGTAAAGAAGAAGAAAAGATAAACAGAACGAGAGGCAGAGAGAAAGAAGTAGTAATAGTAGTAGTAGTAGTAATAGAGGAGAAGAAGAAGAAGTAGTAGTAGAAGAAGAAGAAGAAAAATAGAAATAGGCCGAGAGAGGCAGACAGATAGAAGAAAAATGAGAAGAAGAAGATGCGGAGGATGAAGAAGAAGTAGTAGTAGTAGTAGTAGTAATGAAGAAGAAAAGATAAACAGAACGAGAGGCAGAGAGAAAGAAGAAGAAGTATTAGTAGTAGTTGTAGTAATGGAGAAGAAGAAGAGGTAGTAGTAGTAGTAGTAGAGAAGAAGAAGAAGAAGATGAAGAAGAAGAAAAAGAAGAAGAAGAAGAAGAAGAAGAAGAAGAAGAAAAAGAAAAATAGAAATAGGATGAGAGAGGCAGACAGAAGAAAAATGAGAAGAAGAAGAAGAAGATACGGAGGATGATGAAGAAGAAGAAGTAGTAGTAGTAGTAGTAGTAAAGAAGAAGAAAAGATAAACAGAACGAGAGGCACAGAGAAAGAAGAAGAAGAAGAAGTAGTAGTAGTATTAGTAGTAGTAATGGAGAAGAAGAAGAATTAGTAGTAGTAATAGTAGTAGTAAAGAAGAAGAAGAAAAAAAAATAGAAATAGGACGAGAGAGGCAGACAGACAGAAGAAAAATGAGAAGAAGAAGAAGAAGAAGAAGAAGAAGAAGAAGAAGAAGAAGAAGATGCGGATGACGAATAAGAAGAAGAAGAAGAAGAAGAAGAAGAAGAAATGTAGATGAAGAAGAGAGTGAAATAGTGTGTAGAAAGTCGGTAGCCACAGAACATCACATAGATATCTAAATTGGATCCATTGTGGTGTAAGTATTAATGAATAATTATCGAGGCTCTCATCGTTTTCTGAACGTCAACGCTTCACTACCAAGTTTGGTTTTCGTTCTGGTAAGGGAAGAAATGATGCCAACAAACAGCTCCAAGAAATACCTTACGTCTCTAATAGGGAGCTATATACCTTCTATATTTATTTCACAGCTGCAACTTCTCCATTAATTTCTAAAATACGAATCTATTAAATGTATCAATTGCAAACAGGAATTATGTCAGTCTACTAAATGTGGCATGTCTAGTGAGGGTACAAATATGAAATCATTTTAAACCTCATTAGGAGTACGACAAAGATGAAATGAGTGGCCCAGTCTTTTTAATCTCTTCCTAAACCTGCGCACTTAATAGATGGGCGCTGACCATATAAGAATTCCATACAAAATCCCAAACGAATCTACCAATATAAGACAAAGATCATGCTTTCCCTCTCCAGACCAATGTGCTGACAACGTTGGTATTCACAGAATGATTCTCTTCAAGATCATAGAATGCTCTTGAACAGAAAATCAGCATCCTCTATCAAGTGATCTAATAAATAGGACTTTTGATAAAACTTTTCATACCGAAAACTATGATCTGGAACTTGAATGATAGCAGACATAGTACATAGCTTGAGTCCATCATAAAGATTCAAAATGTGGAATTAGTAAACACTCCAAAGACATTGGTGTAACAAATAACAAATTTAGTTGTGGGGATAAGGAAATTAAACATAAAATAGATTGCGTTTCAGGTAGTTTTGCCCAACACATCCAATTGCGATAAAACGGAAAAATTAGCCCGAAAACTCGTGTCATATACTTAAACGGCCTCGTCAAATCGAAACTATCGTACAGATGTCATACATTACGACAAACTCGTTTAGAAATATATTAATGGTCAGCTGTATTCAACAACTTTCTACGATTTAAGTGAGTGATGCCGGTGTGTTTTGGCAAAGATCATCTGTCTTTTAACATTGTCAACCGTCGCTAAAAAATAAAAATAAAAAACAAGTATTGCATCAAATAAAAAACAAATACCTCACTGGACTATCAACAGCAGCAACAACTTAAATGAATATCATATGTAAGCCGAAGGAGAAGTAATGACATAATCAAGATATTAATATTGCACACTTCTTTCAAATATGAGGTTAAGAAGAAAACCCACATCAATATTGGAAAGAGCTATAACAGTTACTGGACCTGAAAAAATCTATTTCCTGAAAAAATGATTCAAGAGAGAATTTTTATATTTCAACAACAGTAGTAGTAACTGCTCTGAAAATGAATGATTGTAGGTTAAATGGTTAATATTACCATTATCATTACCAATTACCTATAACATACACAAACGTAGAAAGGGGCGTAAGACAAGGATGACTCTTCTCACCGGACGTATTTAGCTTTTACAATGAGCTGATTTTGAGAGAACTAGAAGTTTTAACTGGATTAGTGATTGGTGTCAACGTCCTTAGCAATAACTAGATATGCAGGCAGAAAAGGGTTAACATCAGACACAGGAAACAGAAATAAAACTACAGGGACTCCCACAGAAGGAAGTAATGGAAGGCGAGAAGAAAGGATTAATCATCAATTCTAAGAAGACAGAATATATAGTTGCCAGAAAACGAAACAACCCAAGATGCAAAGTACTGATTGGAAATGTAAAAATCAAAAAAGGACAGAAGTTTAAATATTTCGGAATTGTTATAAGAGAGGACGGAAAAAGGCAACACCGAAATACGAAGTAGCATTGGAATTCGAAAGATTCCATCAAAAAAGTTAAGCAAAGTATTAAGAAACAGGAAAATTTCGTTAGAAACAAAGGTACGTGTACTGAACAGTTATGTAATATCTGTGCTCTTATATGGCAGTTAATTTTGGAAAGTATTCTCACAGATCTAGAAGAGATCTGAGGCAACAGAAATTTGATTCTAGGGAAGCTTACTGAGTTGACGTTTTGTAGGAAATGAAAAAAAATGACACATACTTAGAATCAAGACTTAGTTGTGGTTTTTATGATTATGGATTATTTTGTTTTGCAGCATATCGACCACAATTAGTCATTGCATGATGACAAGATGTTTAGGATAGGTTCGTATGAATAGAGTATGTATTAATATTTTTTACGCATTAATATTTTTCTATGATTTAAGCGAGATTTGCCTATGGGTTTTAGCAAAGGCCAGCTGCCTTTTAACATTGTCAACTGACGCTACAATATCTCAAGCATAGAATTACATCAAACAAAAAAGAATACCTCACTACACTATCAACAGCAACAACAACTAAAATGGAGAGCGCGTAATATATTTTTCTCCAAAAATGGTAATATTTTTTGGCTGGTAATAATATTTAAAAAAAAAATCTATCGCTGGTCTTATTACAATAAAAATAATTTTTATACTTTCATACAGAAATGACTCCAGTTTGCGTGTTAAATATTTACCCACAGCAGGAACCATAAAAGGTGCTACTACCACGGGTCACAGCGAACCTGCAAACAAAAAAAATTACAAGTGGGTCCACGCTCCTCAAATTCTCTCGATCATACTCCTTGGGGCTAGATGTAGTTTATCGTCATAACCAGGACGCAGTAATTACCCAGTAATTTCTGTCTTGTTGGTCATGAAAGGAGTTGTCGCTACAAGGCAAAACATATTGCGAGTTGGAAGAAGATACATATTTTTCTATAGGAGATTGATTATCCACCAAATACAAGGCCTTATAG